CTCATACACACACACACACTCATACACACACACACACTCATACACACACACACACTCATACACACACACACACTCATACACACACACACACTCATACACACACACACACTCATACACACCATACACACACACCATACACACACACACACACACACACACACACACACACACACACACACGATTCCATGTATATATGAAATACATGTCTCCTCACACCTGAAAAGTCAAACAAGGAAAAAAAAGGTACCTTATGTGCGCATGAATGACACGAGAGTGCTCAGGACGGTTGCTTTGGTATTGGAGTGGGGGACTTTGGTGGGGGATTGACTCTAGAGGGCGTGAGGGAGCACTCTGGGTGGTGGGAATGTCCCCGTCTGGACTTCATGTGGTGTACTCCTGCCTGCACTTTTGTGAGAACCCTGCATACCTCCCATCTGATGCTCCCAATCACAGAGCAGAATTGACTCCATGTGTGGCTCATCTGGCCGGCTGGGAAGAATTAAGGATCAGTTTTGCAGATTAAAATCCTGAGTTTTGCAATAATACTGAAATGTCAGTGTTTGACAGTGATGAGACGGAGCTTGGCCACGTGCGGTGCAAAATCCTTTTAGGTCTCCAGTGTAGGGGATGGGAAGTAATTTCCTCCCAAGTCGTCTGTGATATCCAGAGGCGATGGGTGGTGACATCCTCATTTCCTCCCTGTGACTGTGTAGCAATCACTCTGACACAAGCAAGCAGGGGGCGGGGAGGGGCAGGGATGGGGTGGGGGGTACGGTTATTTCATCTCATACTTCCAGGTCACAGTAGTTACTAAGGGAAGTGGGGGCAGAACCATGGAGGAGACTGCTTTCGGGCATGCTGGGATAGTTTTCTTATATAGCCCAGGCCCACTGCCCTAGGAATGGTGTCACTCACAGTGGGCTGGACCCTCCCACATCCATCAACGGTAGAGATAAATGCCACAGGCCATTGTGACCAGGGCAACTCCTCTTTCAATTGAGACTCCCTCTTTGGTGACTCTAGATAACAGGCAGAGAGGACTTAAAACAAGACACAAATTAGCTGTGGGTAAATTTCAGTTCTGCTAAGTCTCGAGCTTCCTCTAAATCCACCTGTGAATAATTGTCAGACCCAATTGTGATTTGTAACTCTGTCCCCGTGGAGTGATTTATGAGACAGAAAACTTAAATTTAGTTTGTGCGGCTTCAGTGTTACACAAATGAGACAGGGCTCATTGGGGCAACAAAAACAAGAGCGTCTTCCCAACGGATCCTTTGATTTCAGGGTTCTCTCACGGAATTGGGGTTCCCTCTTTAAGTACTTCCCTCCTTTTCAATTTCTCTTTTTCTTTTCTCCCTCCCCTTTCATACCTCCTTCCTTCCTTTTCTTTCCTTCCCCCCCCCTTTTTTTTTTGGTGAGAGGGTCTCCATATAGCCCTGGCTGTCCTGGAATCGCTATGTAGATGAGGCTAGGCTTGAACTCACAGAGAGCACACCTGATTGTTTTTATTTTAAACCTAACTATGATGATTCCCATTTTCTCTAATCTTTCAACATACTATCAGCTCAAATTCCTGATGTAGAGTTAATTATCTTTAAAAAATTGAAATTCTAGGGTGTTTATTTTCCAGAGAATTAAAAAGAATATGTGTTAACTGCTTAACTGAAAAGCTGAAAATGTTAGCTAATTATGGCTAACAAGTAGTGAGAATTTTTTTTTCAGCGTTGAGTACTGGTCACTTTGGACTTGTCTTCAAAGTCTAGAATTAGAAATTTCCTTGTGGTAATGGATATGGGACCTCCTGCACATCTGTGGTTTGTGCAGTGGATATGGACACACTGTGTGCCTGTGATCTGTACAGTGGACATGGACACACTGTGTGCCTGTGACTTGTGAAGTGGACATGGACACACTGTGTGCTTGTGACTTGTGCAGTGGACATGGACACACTTGTGTGCCTGTGATCGGTGCAGTGGTCATGGACACACTGTATGCCTGTGATCTGTACAGTGGACATGGGCACACTGTGTGCCTGTGATCTGTACAGTGGACATGGGCACTCTGTGTGCCTGTGGTTTTCACGGGTTGGGTTGATGTTTTTTAAGCTGTAGAAGTCCACGGCTTTAGCATTTCTCATCACAAGTGAAAAATGCAGCATCTTTGAATTGGAGACCTCTGAGTTGGCCATACATGGAAAAGCCAGGAGAATTCTGTGGTCCACATGCCACAGGCATGTGGGAGGGTGGGAATGCACCCTCCTATCTTCCCGACTACATGTGTTAGACATTAGGATGCTTTTTGGCATCTGGATTTTAATTTGTTGGTGACAGGATCTATATTTGGGGAAAGAATTGTCTGGGCTAACCTTCTTCCCAACAATCATTTGATTAAATGGTTATTTTCCATGCACATCTAAGTAAGATCCAGACACGGTGGGTGCCTCAGACTGCTGTGTGAGCCAGGGTTAAGGTTAACAAAGGGGCCTGTTCCTCATTAGTGTGAGAAGGCGTCCCTCGGAGGCTAGCCCATAAACATACTCCACAGTGGGGTAAAGGTACAGTGACTTAAAACCATCACTGCCTGTGACCACCAGCACACCTGCAACACCTGGCCAAGATGGGGGCTGTGCAGTGATTTGGGAACAATGGTTGGGTTGTTTGAGAGTCCTGGACAACGGTTGCCTCCGCCTTGCAATTATTCTGCTAGAAAGCAGAGGGCTCTCACGTCCTTGAGTTGCAGCCACCTCTGTCCAGCCTTGGAAATTCCTGTTATGTAATTTTCTAACCCCCTTTTTGTTATCCCAGTCACCATATAACAAAGATTTCCAGGACTTCAAAATGAAACTCAAGATCATTTCTGCCTGAAATATGCCCATCCGAGAAATGGCCAGTGCTCCATGCACTCTAAATCGTGTTCCTGGAACATTTCCCTTTATTGACTCAGGCAGCCATGCAGTTGGAGCAGGCGGTGGATTCAAAGCGGCTCCGTCTTTTAACGGTGTACTTGTGTATAGCTACCATGGCGCACTGCCGTCCAGCCCATACACATTCCTTTAGACATCTTTTAAATTCTTTTAAAATTTATTATTTGTGCCTTAATCCTGTGAGCATTCCCACAGTTTACATTCTTTTATCCTTCAGGGTTCTGTTGCTCTGCCTTTCATTTTCTTTTCTTGTTTTCTCGAGACAGGGTTTCCCTGTGTAGCTTTGGAACCTGTCCTGGAACTAGCTCTTGTAGACCAGGCTGGTCTCGAACTCACAGAGACCCGCCTGCCTCTGCCTCCCGAGTGCTGGGATTAAAGGCGTGTGCCACATTATTCCCCTTCTTCTTGGCTCACACCCTCCAGATTTCTGGAATGTTCTTTGCCAGATGCCGAGGCCTTTCCTTCAGGCAGAATTTCACAAACACCCAAGACCACTGTTTGCAAAGAAGGGTTGATACTTATTCTTTTGAGTCCAGTTGCTTGTTGTAGGAGCTGGGATGTAGGAAACATGGTGGGACCCAAGTCTTAAGAGTGACAGGGCGTTCCGGTGGCTGGCTGACTGTGGAGGTGTGGGCGCAAGATGTGTTGTGTAGTGTGTATGGAGAAAATGGATACCGAGTCAAACTCACGGGATGACAGGCAGCCGTTCCTCAGTGAACACATTTGTGCTTGTCATCTGTCTCTATAATGGCCTCAGATAAGGTAATGCTTCCTAGGTTCTGAATAATTGGATTTCTAGTCAGAGGAGATAAGTGAATGCAAGCTTATTGGAGAATACAGCCCCCCCCACCCCATGAGAAGCTTTGATCCCATGTCCAAGCTCTCTTTATGTTATGAGAGCCCCACAGCCCTTGGTCTGAGTATGGAATAGGGCATCTGACAGTTTGTGCGCTCTTGGTACCCAGCCAGGGCCTTTCCACCACCCCGCTGTATTGGTAATTACTAAAACCATGAGTTTTGCAACAGACACTTTATTCCCTGGGCAGCCAGACTCCAATCCTTCTCACTAAGGATGTGGTTCAAAGGTATTTATTGGCCTAAAAAAAAAAAAAAAAAAAAAAGGGGGTTTGAGATGTAGGGAAGCCACATAAGGAAGTGTCAGTATCGGTGGCCCACACATGTGCAAACATGCTTCGGACCTTCATGGGAGGCCTGTTTAGAAAATAGCCTGTGGCTGGGTCTGCCATCCCTGATGTCATAAGGGTTCTCAGGCTGACCTTCAGGGGCATAAGTGAAGAGGTCTGCTTTAGCGTTTCGAACCAATTAAGATGATTTCTAAGTCTCTCTTAAGAAACAAAACAAAAATCAACTAAAACCATTGAAACAATCCTTGTGGGCCACGCTCAGCAAGGTGTTTACAGAGCAACAGGCTGTGCAGGGCAGAGCCTTGTTTCTCTGTTACTTAATTAAGTCACTTCTGAAAGCAATGATGAGAGCCAGTGACAGTCGGAGAAACCACATGGTGAATTTAGGTTTCTCTGAGCTTCCGAAGAAAGCTTGTGCTCTTTGGGTTTTAAGCCCTCTTTTCTTTTGAAGCAGGCTCTTGTCATGTTGCCCAGGCTGGCCTAGAGCTTCTTCACTCTAGCCATCCCCCTGCCCCAGCCTCTCAGGGAGGGCAACAGGCACCATCCTCTCTTCCTGGTCCTCTAGATTTTAAACTTTAGGGCTGAAACATTTTATAAGAAAGGGATAAGAGAACCTTATTAATTTGCATATAGGGACTTGGTCACAGTCTTTGCTCCCCCACTGCTAATCGCTGTATCTTAGAGATAAAACCATTTTCTTTTTCTGGTTTGTTAAGCCATTCTACAACATGGTGACACCTACTGCCCTTTGCACAGCTACGTCCTAGCTTTTGTAATAGCCAATGAAAACCCAAAGATCCCCAAGGTGCAGCGAGTTACATGTGGGGGTGTGAGGAACACAGCCAAGTCCTCATGATGAAATTAACAAGCCGTGTCGATGCCGAGGCCACCCAGGTTTTACGCGTGTTAACTCAGTCCTCTTCTTTTGCCAGGCAACAATGTCATGAGGACCATCCACGGGGTAGGAGAGATGATGACCCAAATGGTGCTTAGCAGAGGCTCCATCTTCCCAGTGAGTGTGCCCGAAGCGCAGCCCAGCGCCCACCTCAGCAAGCAGGCAAGCCCCAGTGACCAGGAGGACGTGACGGTGATGGACACCAAGCTGAAGGTCATTGAGATTCTACAGGTGCGTCCTGCAGCTGGACTCCGGCGGTGATGCTGGGCCCCATTGGTTTCTCTTAAGTGTTGTTGTTGTTGTTGTAAGTGTGGTGTGAGTGTGGTGTGTGTGTGTGTGTGTGTGTGTGTGTGTGTGTGTGTGTGTGTGTGGCACAGGCTCATGTGGACCTTGTGGCAATCCTCCTGCCTCAGCTTCCTGAGTGCTGAGATTCCAGATGTTAGGCACTGCATCTGGTTTCACTGTGTAAATGTATTGAAACGCTGTCGGTGTCACGTGAGTCTGAAATGTTATTGGTCTCATTTTATTCTGAAAAGCTATTGCCCCATCTTCTTATTACTTTTAAGTGAAGGGCAGAGCTGGCAATGCATCGCACACCATCGCTTCTTTGCACACTCGTCCTGTGGTTTCTGTCCCTTGAAATACTCTGGGATAGAATAGCTGATGTCTAGCAGCTGTGGAGTGCTTTGAGCTTGGTAAATTGCTTTCCTGTGTGTTTAATATCAGCTAGTGTTGACCCCGGTTGGATTTTTCTTCATTTAAGAGAGATTTTTTAAAGCAGGCATGTTTAATGATGGGATTCCAATCATTTTCCTGCTTTCAGTTGCTTGGAACTTGTTTGTGAATTCCATGTTTTAGATTTCCTGTTGTTATGGGAAACACAAGAGTTTTATGTCAGACATGTTAGGATACGCCTATAAATCTAGCTCTCAGGAGGCTGAGGCAGGAAGATTTCTGTGAGTTCAAGGCCAGCCTGACAGTGGAAGACCCTGCTTCACCCCCAAGACATTATTTACCAGACTTGTTAATTGTTGGTTTTATTACTTTACACAATTACCTCCCTTTGTGTTTCTAAGAGGCTAAGGATTTTTTTCACATTAGCAAAGTTTAATACCTACCTTTATCAATTTAATGAGCTCAGTTATTTCATGCAGCAGATCCCTATATGATTTCTAGCATTTTTGAGGGGAGGGGAGGTAAGCCTGGGAAGCAGGCGTATGGTACCTTTGTTGTAGTGTTTATACCAGAGTCAGAGAATGGAGCCTGTAGCTTTCCGGACCGCCTTGAGGATGTGAACCGAGTTTCCCCACATCTTTCATCATCATCTAACGTAGACTGAGAGCTACCAGAAGTGGGTCAGCAGTCCTGGCAGGCTCCGTGCATTCCTCATTCTAAGTAATTAGATTTATAATCATAAAACATTTCCCAGTTCCTCCAGGGTTTCCAAAGGCCAAGTCCCAAGAAATGTTGGCAGGCTTCCCCACCCTGTGTTCATGGCCTTGGAACTTCATATGTAATGTTTTATCCTGAAGCTGAGAAAGTACTGAAGGGGCCCCAGGTCAGCCTCACGACCCCGTCCATGGCATGAGGGATGACCAGTGATGCATGCGGCCCCGTTTTCAACCGCGGTTTTGGCAATGGTGCCTTTCGCAGTGACAGCGGGAAGTGTGCTGTGTGGCTGAGTCTGGCTGGTTTCTGCCTCCTTCCAGCACTTGAAGAATTCTTTTCTGAACCGCTTTTGCTGTCTGACTGTCCACCCAGGGTCTCCCGTTTCAAGGTGTGGTGCTGTCAATCTGCTGCCTCCTCAGAACGGCCGTTCATCAAGTCCTTGGTGGCCGCAGGCCCTGGCTGCTGCTGGCTCTCTGCCAGCTCCTCCTCCTGGGGGGGGGCTCCCCTCTTTACCTCACCGAAGAACATGGTTTTCAGTGAGCGTTATTTTGTTCTTGCCCTCTGACCTTACTTATTCTCTCTGCCTTTACAAGTTCTTAAATTTATTTTTAGTTTTTAAGACAAGGTTCGTTCTGTATCCCTGACCGGGCCAGAGCTCACTGTGTAATGTAGGCCGATCTTGAACTCATGGGAATCCTCCTGCCTCAGTCCCCCAGGTGCTGAGGATGCTGGGATTATAGGTGTGAGCCACCATGCCTGGCCTTTCTCTGCCTTGTTGTCATCTGCTTTTTGTTTTTTTTAATTTTACACTATCTGCATCTTCATAATGAGACACATTAGAGGAGCAAAGGTTGTGAAATTCAGTTCTGTGAGTTTTCATCTCCAACAGACGTGAATGCTTCATTAGTGTTTCGTATTGAATTCTCTCCCCCGCCCTTTGGACACTTGAGCTTTAAAAACTGTGTATTGAGTACCTGTTGCCTAGCCCTGACTCTGTCCTATTCACTGGAGTCTCTTCATTGAGCGTGTGTTGTATTCACAGCAGGTTACTAAGAGTCACTGTGGGGTTTATCTTTACTTCTGGACTTTATACTCCTCAAGAGCCACATTTACACCCTGGCCACCTTAAAGTACTATGTTAAAAAGGATTTTTAACTTCTGTGTGTATGTGTGTGTACGTGTGTGTGGTGTGTGCACAGGAATGCAGGTGCTCGCGGAAACCACAGAGTATCGGATCCCTTGGAGCTGGAGTTACAGGTGGCTGTGTGCCATCTGACATGGGTGCTGGGAATCAAACTTGAGTCTCTCGCAAGAGCAGCGTCTCCCCAGTCCTGTGGGCACCCTTTATACAACACCGTCTTCCTTCCTCCCTGGCTATCAAATGTGGATAAACTGAAGTAAGAGGAGCTGACATAGGCTTTCTTCCATCCTGATGCAGCACCTTCCAAGTGTGTGTTGGGCGAGGATGGGTGGAGATGGAGGGAGAGAGAGGGGGAAAGGAAGGGGAGGTATGAAGAGATAAAGATAAGGGAGAGGGAGGGGGAAATAGAGAGAGGGGGCATCTATCCAAACCCTGGCCATGGAATCATAAGAAGCGTCATACGGACACTTTCAGTGTCTTGAGAGCTCGCTCTCATGGGTGGAGAAGAGACTCAAGGTGCAGTGGACGCTGAAGAAACATGAAATTGCAACAGAAAATTGTGTGTGACATGGTGGCCATGGGCCAAAGTAGTGTGAGCACTGAGAGAGGGGGTGAGGCCTGGGGAGGAAGGGAGGGTTGTGGAAACGAGCAGAAGGCTGCTGAGAACACAGAAGCCAGCTTTTCTAAAGCCTGGGCTACCACATTGTCTAACGTTCCCAGAAGGAGGAGGCCCTTTGAGACTACAGGACACTGGTAATCGCTATGCTCAGAAATCCAGCCCATCTCAGGCCAGCTGAGATTTGAGCACATCCGTCCGGATGTCTTCTCTGATCCCACGGCTCAGCCTTGCAGGTCATCTCCTAACACAGGTGTCCCCCGTTTTCCCAGTGCAGTTACTTGCTCCGTCCAGGAAGGGGTTTTCAATGTTTGGGTTCCCCAAGGCTCCCTGCAGAGCTCAGGCCTTAAGGGCTACTTCATCGCTGTCCACATCTCAGCCACTGAGGTGATGATAACAGAGGAGACACAGACACCATGGAGAAACCCAGGCACCAGCATTCCAGCCATCCTGGCTGTCCTTGCTTCTGGGCAGATGTCCCCAGGGCTGGAGCAACTCCACTGCAGTTAAAGCTGCAGGCTTTCTGGGCACAAAAGCCGTTCCTGCATCTCCCTCTCCACAAAGGATATTGCCAGGGTGTCTGAGGTCATACCAGCATTACCTCTTCAGACACACAAGACGCCCCTCCCTGAAGTGTTCAGAGAACAGTGTGGGGTGCCAGATTTCCTTGTTTCTAAAACTCGATGTAGACCAGTGTGGTGGCACACACCTGTGATCCAAGCTCTGGGGAACAGGAGTTCAAGGGTATCCTCTGCTACATAGGGAATTTGAGGCCAACCTGGGGTACAGGAGACCCTGTCTCAAAACCAACCACCCAACCAACAAACCAACCAAACAACCAAATAAACAACCAAAAAGAAAAAAAAAACAATCACAAATTAATTAATTACTGTGGGCTTTCATTAGTACTGACCAATGAAAACATAATCCTTTCCTTCATTTTAAAACTGACCAAAACAGGTAAACAACCGAGAGTTTATAGTTTACAAACAAGGTCTCTGATTGGTTCATTTGGACGATTGACAGCATGGTTGTTGGTGTGTGCCACGGCTTGCATTAAAAATTCATTATGTCCACATGGGGGCACCCATATCGCAGTGTTTGTTGTGGAGGTCAGAGGACAACTTGATGGAGTTTCCTTCCTCACACCTTCACAGGAGTTCTGGGGATGCAACCCAGGTTCCCAGGCTTTCTTGGCAAGGGTTTTGCCCTCTGAGCTGTTTCCCCAGCCTGCGTCTCGTGTTTAAGCGCCGTGCTGCTGGCTGCGGCATCTTAGCAGTGTGGCGTCTCTCAGCACCGGCTCATGGAACTAAGCTTGCTATGTTGCTTCTTCCAGTTCATCCTGAGTGTCAGGCTGGATTACCGGATCTCATACATGCTGTCCATATACAAGAAGGAATTTGGGGAGAACAATGACAATGGTGACACCTCTGCCAGTGGATCCCCGGACACGTTGCTACCATCAGGTAACTTTGTGATAGGATTTGCTCTTGCATTTTATGTTCTTTTTAAAATTTATCTTAAATGTTACTTTTTTTTTTCTGAGACAGGGTTTCTCTGTATTGTTTTGGAGTCTGTCCTGGAACTCAGTCAATAGACCAGGCTGGCTTCAAAGTCACAGAGATCCTCCTGCCTCTGCCTCCCGAGTGCTGGGATTTAAGGTGTGCGTCACCAATGCCGGCTAAATGATACTTTTTATTTCTTGGAAATTTCTTGTATTTATACAATGTATTTTGATCATATCCATCCATCACTATCTCCCTCCAACCCCTGCACCCCACACACACCTCACCTCCCTCCCCAGTTCATTTCCTTGTTTTATTGTTATTGACAACCCTTGAATCCACTCAGTGCTGCCCGTATGAACATGGGTGTGTGACTATTCACTAGGGTATGGTCAACCTACCAATAGCCATGTCCCCAAAGAAGAGTGACTCTCTCTTGCTCAGCAGCCTTCAGTTGCCAATATCCACGCTAGAGTTTTGGCTGGCCTGGTCTTGTAGAGGTGTCCAAGGCTTCTGTGAGTTGGTGAGTGTGCCAGCCACACTATTTCTAACACGGGCATCTCAAAGCACTCCTCTCCCTTTATGGACTCTTGCGTTCTTTCCGACACATCTACAAAGTTCCCTGTGCCTTGGATGGTGATGGCAGGAGGCTGGAGATGACCCATTCCAGCTGAGCACTCGGTGTGATTTAGACTGTGTATTTTGACTGGTTCTCTGCATTAACCTTTTCCCACGCAACAAGAAGCTTCTCTGACCAGAGCTGAGAGCAGTACAGGTCTATGCAATGATATAAACATAGATATCATGAGCTATTGTGTAGGCATTAATCCCTGCTGCTGTGCAGGCTTCAGGCCCAATCAAAAGGTGGCTGGTCACTCCTATAGCCATCATGCCGCTATTGCACCGGTGAGCACGTCTTGGCAGCGTGTCAGTATTGACATACACAGGGTCCGGCACACAGCCAGGTGAGGGTTGAAGTATTTTCTCCCCTGGGCTCTGATGGGGTTGACTGCTCTTTGTCTTGAGTCCAAAGTCAGTGGTGTCTTCAGCAATTGACTCTTGTCATTTACTTTTGAGGGGCAATCAGGAGCAAACAATAATCTGTGTTGTTCTGGGTGCCCCCCTGGGCCTCTCTGATGGGTCAATAACTCACAGGGAGGCATTCTGTGCCTTGCACTGGGTTTTAATTTAAAATAACCCATGTTTGCTAGAAGTAGCACCATCTACCCATGTGGGGGCTTGCATTCAGATTCCATGTGTGCATGTGTGTATATACACACATATGTGTGTATGTGTCCATGTGTGTTGTCTGTATGTATATATGTATGTGTGTGGTATGTATATACATACATGTATATTTGCATATGTGTCCACATATGTGTGCATGTGCGTGTATATATATATATGTCTATACACATGTGCATTTTCATGCATGTGTGGTGTGTAATGTGTTTGCATATGTATGTGCATATACATATGCGTATACGCACATGTGTGCGTATATGTATATACACACACGCATGTGTGAATACATATATAGATATATACACATACGTGTGTGTGTGTGTGTGTGTGTGTGTGTGTGTGTGTGTATTTAATCAGCTTACAAAACAATGGATTGCCATAAGCTTCTTTGTGATCCTTGATTTTGCTCTCTGCTTTAAAGACCCCAGGCACCTTTCATACCTGTCTTAGAACAAAAGTATTTCTATGTCAGAAGATGACAATCTCTCCCAGGTGAAACTGAGACAGAGCAGTAGAAAGAGGAACTTGCTGTTTTTGGCACTGTGTCCGGCACAGGCCAGGTTTTTGGCCTGTCCCCATACTGCCTCCACTGTGATAGGTAGAGGTGCTGTTATTACAAATTTAACAGATGATAAAAGTCAGTCAGGGGAGTGACTTGGGAAGATCTGTACATTTGTTAGTGTTGCTGTGATGAAAGCAACTGGAGGGAGGAAGGGTGACAAGCAGTTCAGTCTGGAAGGGGCAGCAAGGGGCGGGGTGCGAGGTGACTGGTCACATTGTCTCCACAGTCAGGAAGCAGGGAAAGTTGAATGCTGGAGCTCGGTTCACTTTCCCCTTTTAGCACAGGAACTCCTGTGGTGGTGCCACCCACATTCAGGGGGCCCTTCCCACCTCCATGAAACCTTCCCGGATACCCTCACAGACACAGCCAGGGTGGGTTTCCATGGTGATTCTAAATTCAGGCAGGTCCACAGTGAGGGCTACCACAGTCATCAAAGCCCCGGGCCCCTGAGGCCTCTTCAGCGTCAGAGTCAGAGTCTTTTGCACATTTTGTTCTTTTGGTGAAAATCTGAGAACAGTGTTCATGCCTGGATCAAAGAGCAGCGTGAAGTGCAGCTGGCAGGGCAGGGTTTTCGGGGAAGCCATGGTTAGCCGGAGAACAAAGGGGAAGGGCTCCCGAAGGCTCGCCTGTGGTGGTGCCAGGCTCTGTGCCTTTCCCTCAGGAATCCCATCTCACATTTAGACATTCGAATGTCTCTGAGACTTGGAGCATAACCCAAAGAGCACAGAAATGGCTGTGAAATTTGAGGCTATAGAAAGGACTTTGTGAAGACTAAGAAATGTTAGCTCACCTTTTTCCTGGTTGGGCCAGGTCGGTCTTGGTGGTCTATAAACCACATCTTAGGATATAGACAGCCAGTTAGCAAAGCTCTTCTGAGACAGCAGTGCAGATAGGAAACTCCTGGACAGTGTTAGGAACCACGTCCTTCTCCAGCCATCAGCTGGTCAGGCAAGAACAGGCCATTGCCTGCTAGTTTAGTGAGAATGGGGACCAGACCAGTTGCCTCGCTACCCACCTCTGCTCTGCGGGCAGCCTTCCCTGCAGACCAGCAGCCACCCTTCCGCCTAGGCGAGGAGCCACTCCTGGCACCCCCAACACAGCAGTTTCCCAGAAGTGCAGAACCCCAAAGGGCTGTTTCCAGGAATGATCAGGCAGAACCAGAAAGTCATGCTGGCGGCTGCATTGACAGAAACATAACAGTTACTGGCTCCCAGAAGCCAGACTTCTGGAAATACAAGCTCTGAGTGTCAGTAAAGTACCCAAGCAAAGGTTAAAGGCACGCCAGAAAATCCTCTGGTGGAGTCTCTCTCTCTCTTTGTCTCTCTGTCTCTCTCTCTGTCTCTGTCTCTCTCTGTCTCTTTCTCTTTCTCTCTCATAGGATTTCCCCCTCTATTTGTATCTTGATCTCTTTTCATGCTCTAGATATGAGAAATACATAATCTATCATTTGAACATGTTGTCTTAGTAAAGGTATCTTCAATATGGTGGTGGCAGGGCATGGTGAGGACTTGTGATTGGGTCACATGGCAAATGACCCCACCCCATTCTACAAGAAAAAGAGAAGGAATTTCTTTTATTTTGAGCTTGTTTTTATTGAGCTCCTCTCCCTTTCTCCTCTCTTCTTCCCTTCTACCCTCCCTCTGCCCCCATGCTCCCAATGTACTCAGGAGATCTTGTCTTGTTTGCCCTTCCTAGGCAGATCCATGTCTGTCTGTCTTTGTTACCTAGGTTCTCTGGAGTTATGGACTGTAGGCTGGTTGTCCTTTGCTTTATGTCTAATACCCACTTATGAGTGAGTACATATTATATTTGTCTTTCTGTGTTTGGGATACCACACCCAGGATTTTTTTTTTCTAGTTTTATCCATTTGTCTGCACATTTCAAGATGTCATTGCTTTTTATTGCTGAGCAGTACTCCATGTGTAAATATACCACCTTTTCTTTATCCATTCATTGGTTGAGGGGAATCTAGGTTGTTTTTAGGTTCTGGCTATTATGAATAATGCTGCTATGAACATAATTGAGAAAATGTTCTTTTATCGTGAGAATGCATCCTTTGGTATATGTCCAAAAGTGGTATTGCTGGGTATTGTGGTAAACAGATTCCCATTTTTCCGAGAAACCACAGTACTGATTTCCAAGGGGCTGTAAAAATTTGCACTTCAGCCAGCAATGGAGGAGTGTTCCCCTTACTCCACATCCGCTCCAGCATGAGCTGTCATCAGTGTTTTTGATCGTAGCCATTCTGGCAGGAGCAAGATGGTACCTCAGAGATGGTTTGACTTGCACTTCTCTGATGGCTAAGGATGTTGAGCACTTCCTTAAGTGTCTTTCTGCTGTTTGAGATTGTTCTCTCGAGAGCTCTCAATATCTGTACCCCATATTTTCATTAGATTATTTTGTAGTTTGATGTCTAGTTTCTTGAGTTCTTTATATGTTTTGGAGATAAGCCCTCTGTCAGATGTGGTTTTGGTCAAGATCTTTTCCCATTCTGTAGGAAGTCATTTTGTCTTGTTGACTGTGTCCTTTGCTTTGCAGAAGCTTCTCGGTTTCAGGAGGTCCCATTTATTAATTGTTGATCTCAGTGTCTGTGCTACTGGTGTTCTATTTAGGAAGTGGTCTCCTGTGTTCAAGGCTACTTCCCACTCTCTCTTCTTTGAGTGTGGTTGGTTTTATGCTGATATATTTGACCCATTTGGACTTGAGTTTTGTGCATGGGGGTAGATACAGACCTATTTGCATTCTTCTACACGTCAACATCCACTTATGCCAGCACCATTTGTTAAAGATGCCTTGTTTTTTCCATTTTATAATTTTAGCCTTTTTTTTGTAAAAAAAATCAGGTGTTCATGGTTATATGGATTGATATCAGGGTCTTTGATTCGATTCCATTGGTCTACCTGTCTGTTTTTGTGCCAATACCAAGCTTTTTTTGTTACTGTGGCTCTATAGTAGAGTTTGAAGTCAGGGATGGTGATGCCTCCAGAATTTCTTTTATTATACAGGATTGTTTTGGCTGTCCTTGTTTTTTGTTTTTTCATATGAATTTGAGTATCATTCTTCTGAAGTTTGTGAAGAATTATGCTTGGATTTTGATGGGGATTGCATTGAATCTATAGGTTGCTTTTGGGTAAGATTTCTATTTTTACTATGT